TAGACTGGTTTATACTGGTTTATACTGGTTTATACTGGTTTGTACTGGTTTGGACCGGTTTGGACTGGTTTATACTGGTTTGGGCTGGTTTGGGTTGGTTTGGGTTGGTTTGAACTGGTCTGAACTGGTTTGGAGTGGTTTGGGCTGGTTTTAAACTGGTTTGAACTGGTTTTGAACTGGTTTGAACTGGTTTTAAACTGGTTTGAACTGGTTTGAACTGGTTTGGGCTGGTTTGAACTGGTTTGGACTGGTTTGAACTGGTTTAAGCTGGTTTTAAACTGGTTTAAACTGGTTTGAACCAATTTAAACTGATTCAAAGTGATTTAAACCGGTTTAAACTGGTCCATACTGGTTTATACTGGTTTGAACTGGTTTATACTGGTTTATACTGGTTTATACTGGTTTGTACTGGTTTATACTGGTTTGAACTGGTTTGGACTGGTTTAGACTTGTTTATACTGGTTTAGACTGGTTTATTCTGGTTTATACTGGTTTGAACTGGTTTATACTGGTCCATACTGGTTTATACTGGTTTATACTGGTTTATACTGGTTTATACTGGTTTGTACTGGTTTATACTGGTTTATACTGGTTTGAACTGGTTTATACTGGTTTATACTGGTTTATACTGGTTTTCACTGGTTTCCCCTCAGCTTCCTGCCCAATCACGAGGCGGCGCTGGAGCCCCACCCCCAGAAGGTTTTCTGCGGAATCTTCTCGGAATGCGGCCGGAAATTCCTGACGGCCTCGCAGGGTGGGCGGGAATTCCCGGAAAGTTCCGGAAAACCCCGGAAAGTTCCGGAAAATCCCATGAAAAATGGGAAAAAATGGGAAATTTGGGGGTTTTTTGGGGTTTTTTGAGGTTTAAATTCGGGGTTTTTTTGGGATTTCGGTAAAGGGAATTTTTGGAATTCCCGGAAAGTTCCGGAAAACCCCGGGAAAAATGGGAAAAAATTGGAAATTTTTTGGGTTTTTTGGGGTTTTTTGGGGTTTTTTGGGGTTTTTTCAGGTTTAAATTCGGGTTTTTTGGGGGGTTTTGGTAAAAGTAATTCTTGGAAAAAATCCCCAAAAAATCCCCAAAAAAATTCCCAAAAAAATCCCCAAAAATTCCCCAAAAATTCCCAAAAAATCCCCAAAAATAAAAAAAAAATCCCCAAAAAATCCCCAAAAAATTCCCAAAAAAATCCCAAAAAATCCCAAAAAAATCCCAAAAAAATCCCCAAAAAATCCCAAAAAGATCCCCAAAAAATTCCTAAAAAAATTCCCAAAAAATCCCAAAAAATCCCAAAAAATCTCCCCAAAAAATTCCCAAAAAAATCCCCCAAAATTCCCAAAAAAATACACAAAAAATCCCCAAAAATTCCCCAAAAATTCCCCAAAAAATACCCCAAAAATCCCCAAAAAATTCCAAAAAAATTCCCAAAAAATCCACAAAAAATCCCAAAAAATTCCCAAAAAAATCCCCAAAAAATCCTCAAAAAATCCCCCAAAACTCCCCCAAAAAATCCCCAAAAAAATCCCCAGAAAATCCCAAAAAATCCAAAAAAAATCCCCAAAAATCCCCAAAAAATTCCAAAAAAATCCCCCAAAAAAATCCCCAAAAAATCCCCAAAAAATCCCAAAAAAATCCCCAAAAAATCCCCAAAAATCCCCAAAAAATCCCAAAAAAATCCCAAAAAAATCCCAAAAAAATCCCCAAAAATCCCCCAAAAATCCCAAAAAAATTCCTGAAAAATCCCCAAAAAATTCCCCAAAAAATCCCCAAAAAATCCAAAAAATTCCCAAAAAAATCCCCAAAAAATCCCCAAAAATTCCCCAAAAAATCCCCCAAAAAATCACCAAAAAATCCTTAAAAAATCCAAAAAAATCCTTTAAAAATCCCCAAAAAATCCCCCAAAAATCCCAAAAAATTCCCAAAAAATCCCCCCAAAAATACAAAAAAATTCCCCAAAAATTCCCAAAAAAATCCCCAAAAAATCCCCGGAAAATCCCCCAAAAATCCCAAAAAAAATCCCAAAAAAATTCCCAAAAAATCCCAAAAAAATCCCCCAAAAAATCCCAAAAAAATCCCAAAAAATCCCAAAAAAATCCCAAAAAAATCCCAAAAAAATCCCCAAAAATCCCCCAAAAAATCCCAAAAAAATCCCAAAAAATCCCCAAAAATTCCCCAAAAAAATCCCCAAAAATTCCCCCCAAATTCCCAACAAAATCCCCAAAAATCCCCAAAAAATTCCTGAAAAATCCCCCAAAAAATCCCCAAAAAATCCCCAAAAAATCCCCAAAAAATCCCAAAAAAATCCCCAAAAATTCCCGAATTTTCCCAAAATCCCCCAAACTCACCCCAAACCCCCCCCTCCCCAGACCACACCCTGCGGCTGTTCGAGGTGTCGGGGGAGGGGCTGCGGCTCCTCCGGGCCAGCAGGGGGCGCCAGGTGGGCTGGAGCATCCTGGACGTGGCCTTCAGCCCCGACGGGCGCCAGGCGCTCTACTGCTCCTGGGCCTCGGCCGGTAACTGGTTTGGACTGGTTTGGACTGGGAGGGGACCGGGAGGGGGAGAAATGGGGAGAAAGGGCGAAAAAACGGGAAAAAACGGTGAAAAAACGGCAAAAAAAATGGGGTTAAAAAGGGAAACAAGATGGCGGAAAATGGCGGGAAATGGGGTTTGGGGTTACTGGTTTGTACTGGGAGGGACTGGGAGGGGAAAATGGGGGAAAAATGGGGAAATCGGTGAAAAAATGGGGAAAATAGGGTTAAAAATGGCAGAAAATGGGGTTAAAAATGGGGAAGAAAGGGTTAAAAATGGCGGGAAATGGGGGTTGGGGTTACTGGTTTGTACTGGTTTGTACTGGGAGGGGAAAATGGGGGAAAAATGGGGAAATCGGTGAAAAAATGGCAAAAAATGGGTTAAAAATGCCAAAAATGGGGTTAAAAATGGGGAGGAAAGGGTTAAAAATGGGGATGAAAGGGTTAAAAATGGGGGAAATGGGGGTTGGGGTTACTGGTTTGGACTGGTTTGTACTGGGAGGGGACTGGGAGGGGGAGAAATGGGGAGAAACGGTGAAAAAACGGGAAAAAACGGTGAAAAAACGGCAAAAAAAATGGGGTTAAAAAGGGAAACAAGATGGCGGAAAATGGCGGGAAATGGGGTTTCTGGTTTATACTGGTTTAAACTGGTTTAAACCGGTTTTAACCGGTTCATACTGGGAGGTCACCGGAAGTGCTCAAAAAGGGCGAAAAAACGGGAAAAATCGGCCGCAAAACGGGCGAAAAAACGGGAATTTTGGGGAACCGGAAGTGGGCGTGGCCTGGGATCATCCTGAGCCCCGCCCACAAAAGAAAGGGGCGTGGGCTAACGAGGCCACGCCCCTTTCCGCAGTTCACGTCTTTGATCTCGACGGCGACGGCGACGCCCACACGGCCCTGGAGCTCAGGTGGGGGCGGGGCTTAGGTTGTAATGCTCTAATTTGCATATTCGGGGCGTGGCTTGAGTTTTAAGGCTCTAATTTGCATATTATTTGCATATCATTTGTGGGGGTCCGGGTTGCGCTTGGTTTAGGGAGCGTGGTCTGTGCATTAATTTGCATTTTGTGGGCGTGGTTCTCCTAATTTGCATTTTTAATGTGTTTG